TCTATCTCCTCTTCTAAATAATATGATAATGGCTTTACTCACAAGTGGTTTGCTATACCAGTTACAATGGTGATTGAACTTGGATGCTCATAGTGAAGTGCTTTTGAACTACGAACTCTAATTCTTAATATAAGAATTAGTTAAAAATTAAATTTGGTCATAAATATAAAATCTCAATTTACTTTGTCTCTAAAATTTATAATATTTTCTCTAAATTATTTATTCATTGAAAGGGTTCCCATCAAGGGATAGTTTCAATGCAAATGATTAAAGAAGACAGTTTAGAAAAGTTAACACATATTTGTTACACTTAACTAATTTTTTTAATCTCCTCAAATTAGTTATTTAACTCTTATACTACCTCCGGTCCTTAATATAAAATCTCATTTGACTTTTATTTTGGTTTTAAATATAAGACCCCAATTCACTTTATCTTTTATATTTATGTATTTTTTCTTAAGGTAATCCTTCTGATAATAATAGTTCTAGCCAATAAACTTGATTAGCAAGGATATTTTAGGAAAGACAACACTTATTTATTATAAATAACTAACTTAACTTATTTTCTTAATCTACTTAAATTAGTCAACTAGCTTTTATATTTATGGTCGAAGGTAGAGTTAAAAATCGGAGGTAGTAGTTTGGTCCAACTGAGGAGAAAAGTAGTTTCAATTCTCTTTGATAAAAACTGAGATGATATTCCCGCCATAATACCCTTTACTCTGTTAAAACTTCTTAGGCAGATAAGGTCTGCTCTTAATTCTTGTGCAAAAAGCTGAAAACCTTCAAAGACACTTAATCTTGGACGCAGATAGTGTCAAATATATATCAGTAAATTCAACCAATTGGGGAGACACTTCTCATAACTTGCACTTGAGAGGCCTAAAGTATTACTCTGCAGAAACTTGAGGAATTGGGGTGCCAAAGCAGAACCATCCTCAACTAGGGAGCATGCTTCTTGGGTCTAACTTTCGCTTGGAAGGCACCCTCACAAGTTAATTACAAGGCAAGGCTAGAAATATTGATACAAGTTTGATTTTTCAAGGACAGATAAATCGAGTTAAGTGTGCGTGTGTGGGAGGGTCATGTAAGCTTGTTCAATGGAAGTTTCACTCTTAAGGTACTTTATTTCACTATGTCCTTGTATCTTTCAACTAAACAATTTTACGAAGAAATTTTGTTGCAGGGCGATGTGAAATCCAAAATTAGGTACATATAGTTGCAATGAGGAAGAGCATTTGTTTTTGGAGTTAGGTAAAGAGTGTTTTTCACTTTTTTTTCCCTGCCCTCACTTTGGCACAAATTTCTTACCAGTTCTGTTAAACTCCACAGATTAGGTGCAAGAGGGTGTGAAATAAATTAAACTCAAGGTATTGTTGTTTTGGGTCATTCTTTCTCGTTGAAATTATCTCTTTCTAGTAGTAATAATTCATCATGCTATCAATGATGAATTAATTAAATATTCATTACTTGTTGATGAAAAAGATCATGTTAGAAGAGTATTTTGATTTGAGACTGATAATTTTCTAATCTAACACAATAATATTTAGCATTGAGATGATTGTATTAAAATTAAAAAAATCAAATAAATTACAAAATCTTTTGAAGTTGCATTAGCTATAAGTCAGTTTCAATTGTCGCTTTCTTTTGCTCCTAGGCAACCTATCTATTTGTTTATGTCAATTTTATTTTTAATTTCATGGCTCATTAATTTGGATAAAACTGAAAATGGTACAAGAGTGCACAGAAGCATCTTAAAGTTTGCATGTTAGGTATTTTTCCTTCAATTCAGAAAATACACAACATTAACAACAACTTAACACGTAGTGAAAAAATAATTTTTAATTAACAAATAATTGATTGAGGTGATAGCAACCTTATCCTTGTAAGGGGGAAAAAAAAACGAATTCAAATTTTGAAAAATATTTTTGTTACGAGAGCTGAACACTTTAATTTGTTCCAGCCTCAATTGAACAGTTAATTGCTTGAATTAAAAAACTGGGGCATAATAAATTTATTTGCTAGTTTTCATATTTTCCCCCGTTGAAGCTTAACCAGTTTTGTTGCAGGGGGGTGTGAATATTTTCCAGCGAGTTTCTGAGGTTAGTTGAAGGGTGTTTGTCAATACCTCGTTTGTCATCAGTTTATAAGTTTCATTATTTAAATTTTAAAAGCATAAAAATAAGGGCATAAAATTATATATATATATATATATATAATTTTTTGACATAACTCACATATTCATTGTATCCTCTATGAAAAGTTTGAACTTATGACTTACATTTCAACAAGACTTTAGAAAGAAAGTATTTAGTGTAATTGGAGTATAAGATTCTGGAAAATATTAATATAGACAGCAACTAGAGTTAGGTAAGATGAAAATCCGTAGCCATATAAAATAAATCATGAAAGAACAATTATCATCTTCATCTTGTTCCTATTTATAAGAAAATCTGTAAAATGTCCTGGTTAGTTTCTTTTTTTTTCCTCATTAATTACTTATTTTAATAATCAATATATTTATTATCTTATTTGAATAAGATAATAATTACTGTCTTTATTTGAATAATTTTCTTATTGTTTCCCTTATACTCTCTTTCATAAATAAGGATATTTTTTAGGAAAAAAACTTATAGTTTTAACATATTTATTATTTTTAACTGATTTTTTTATTTACTTAATTTAATCAAATGTTTTTTATAAATAAAAACTGACAAGTATCAAAATTGAAATTGACGTGACACCCATCAATATATCAATATAAATACCATTATTATAAGTATCATCTTTTTTTTATATAAAAATAAAAAGATCAATAATATACATTCTCCTACTCCTATTTATAAGTCACTTCTGACATATTTTATATAAATCAAGAAAAACTTTAAAATTCATTAACTTTTATTTAAAATTTAGTAATTTTCTAATTTTATGTCTATTTAATAAATAAAATAAACTCAATAATAAATAAAGGATAAAATTATATATTCATATATAAAAAATTCGTACTACCCTAAATGACAAAAAATGACTTCTCTGCCTATAAATGAAACATTAGTTGGCAAACCTGAGCACGACGTATATGGTTATGTACACATCACACCGGACATGAAGACAATACAGCACACCAACAATACGCAAATAACACTATCCATGCATAATGAAACATATAATGTAATATACTAAAAACGTATTTTATGTATTAAAACTTATAATAACCCATAGATTGTTATATATATTGCATAGAAGAAGAAAAAACATTGGGATTGTTATGAATATTAAAGTATTACATGTATATCCATTATTATGTCATCTATTTTTCAATATCTTCATCATTCTATAATATCTCATATTAGGTTGTAAATTTATGCTTATAAATAGGGGTGGTAATACGGGCCAACCCGCGGGTTGCAGATTGACCCGTGACGGGTTCAACCCATATGAATCGGGTTGAAAAGTGCCGTTAGCCAACCCTAACCCGCTAAGGTGGGTTGACCCGCTAACCCGCCAACAATTATTTACTTTTTTAAAAAAAATTTTTATCTTTTAATATATTTTTTTCTTATTCAATATTTTAAAAAAATATAATGAGAATTTTATTTTTTTCTTGAAATATTTGATTGGAAGTACCAAATAAATTATATAGGTATTTTTATTTAATTTTTTAGATATAGTATTATATATAATAATACAATTATAATAATTTTTAAAAATTTTAAAAATAAAAAAAAAATATGCGGGTTGGCGAGCTAACCCGCAGCGGGTTGCGGGCCTGACGGTGCGGGTTGGAAAGATTCGTTTACTGGCGAGTTGGCTTTTAGCCAGCCATAACCCGTTATTTTTGACGGGTTGAACATATTACCAGCTCTACTTATAAATAGAGGTTTGCGCATCTATTTGTGTGTGTATAAAGTTTTCTTTATTCTCTCATTCTCTCCTTTTTCTTTTCTCTCTTCAGTTATTATTCTTTTGCCGTGAAACCTTCATCATTCAAGAGGAGGTAGAGTATTGTTTTATTAATACGAATTCTATTCTATATGTTAAATAAAAGAGGCATTAATTAGAGATGTATACGAATTCTTTGTTTGAATACTACTTGGAACATACGAAAGGCGTGCCACATCCAAAAATATGTGGCACACTTTAATTTCTAGAATAAATGGATTTTGAAGTTATTAGAATTTGAATTATGCATATAAAACATAAAGTGGATATCAGAATTATCTACATATAACATAAAAGTAGATCTTGAAGTTATGCATATAAAAACATAACGTCCTGAAATTATTTAACAAACAGAGGACATCGCAAGAGTTGTGTGTGTATACTCCATTGGTTGCTTATTATAAGTTTCGAGTAATTAATTCACGAATAGTGAATAATTAATTAAAATTAACTAAAAGTAATAAATGGATTAGAAATAGATTTTGTTTTCAAATATGTCTTTATAATAAATAAATAAATAAAAGGATGAAAGAGAATGTGTGAAGAAATGTGATAAGAGAGAAGTAATTAAGGATAATATTAAAAAAAATTTATTAAATATTAGGATATATCCAAATTGAAGCTTATAAAATAAACCATATTCCTTTCCAAATTTAAAGCTTATAAATAGGACTGAAGAGGGTATATATAAATAGTTAAATACTATTTCCAACCTTTAATATAAGACACAGGTGTCTAATTTAGAAATATTAAAAAAAGTGAACAAATTACTTTAAAATGTTTATATTTATTGTTTTTTCTTAAACTAATTTGCTAGACTTTGTTTTTTTTTTTTGCCAATAAATTTTCTTGACTTATTAATTAATATATAATCTAATGATATATATAAATATTTTAATTTATTTATATTTCTTAATTTTTATAAATTAATATTTGGCAAAAGAAGAAAAAAAGTATAACGGAGTCATGGGAGTTACTAGTATTACAAGTTTATAGCGCGGGTCACTTCTAATCCGAAGCCGCAAGCGCAGAGTGCAAATGTTAATGCTGTGTCTCGTTTGCTGGGCTTGATCAAATAGGGCAGCAATCTGATCTTCGTCCGTCCAAATCATTAAACTCAAATCTGACCGTTCGTCTCAGCCATCAATCTGTCCATTTATCTCAATCCACTATCCTCCACCTGTTTCCAAAACCCCAGACATCTTTTGTTGTGCCACCTGAATCCATGGCTCATACATCAGCGAGAATCCAATATTTAGAAACTAGGGCTTCATGTTTCCCAAATATTTTCCTCTGATCTTCTAATCTTGACGATTTTGCATTCAAGTTCCGAACTTTCTGACGATTTTGGAACTCCGAGATCCATTTGCTTAGCCCATGAATGCCCAGTCTCAGATCTTGCAAAACCGCCAAAACTACGCCGTTTGGCCTCCCCTTCCGCCACCGTTCCCGCCGGACCACAACCCTGTGTTCTCTCACCGGCCGGTAACTTTCAATGGTCCGACGGAGACGACCAGCCATCCGGGTCGGTCGAACTGGAGGGCGAAACCCGACAAGAGGAAGGAATTTCGGCGAGCCGACCCGCTTGGGGCTCCGCTGGGTCCGGGATACAAATCCGCGAACCAGAGTGATTCGCAGTTTCAGAATCGATCGAAAGGTCGAAGATTTTACCCCAAGAAGAAGTTCAATTCTCGATTCGCTCCCTTTGCTCCGAGGAACACCACTTCGTTCCTGATTCGCGCCAAGAAATCCGGGGGTATTGCGTCGTTGGTCTCGCCATGTCCGGTCACACCGGCGACCCTCCCGACGCCGGTTTTCTCACCGGCGAGGGAGGATTTGATGGACATGGCGAAGGAAGAGTGGGGTGTCGATGGGTACGGCTCAATGAAGGGTCTGATTCGACTTCGTTCCGGGTCCTCTAAAGGCGATGGAGAGGATGCCGATTCGGATGACGGCGGTGGCGAAGCGTCTAGTGACAGCGACGTGGAAGAAGAGCGCGTGGAAGTTGAGAGGAAATTGGACCACGACCTGAGAAGATTCGAAATGATATACCCGAACTCCAACGTCGGCGTCAGCGACGATCAAACCAGTGTACTGGAGACCAGAGTGGACGAACAGGACACCCATATTTCTCAGCTGGAAGAAGAGAATTTGACGCTGAAAGAGAAACTATTTCTGATGGAGAGGGAGCTGAGTGAATTGAGGAGGAGGGTCGAGTGCTTGGAGACTGATGGTGGGGTGGCGCCGGAGAATGTTGCAGAGACCATTAATGACGACGCCGGGCACGAGGGTTCGGAAAAGAGCGTAGGAAACGGTAATGGCGAGACTGAGGAAGACGGTGTTAGAGACTGAATTATCGTCTTATACGAATTGGTTTGAATCGTAACAGGATAGTAGGATGTTTCTGGGAAAATGAAGCTGCAATGATACCTGTAAATGTCTCTGTATATATTGGTAGGATTGTAGATTTAGCGACAGTTTAATGAGTATGGCGTAATATGTTAGTTTCTTTTGTGATCGGAGGACCTTGAAACTGGACCTGTTCATGAGAGAATTTGCAGGCGTTTCACAAACTGATCTTTTGTTTTACTGGCAATTAGAATAGAACGTTGAGGTTCCAGAGAGGAGGAGCCGAGGAAGGGTCGTGTCTTTTGCTCTCACAATGTCACTGCTCATCTGTGTGCGCGTCTATATAAATGTGTGTCTGCATATGTATATATATTACTTTCACATCCAAATTTCTGTGCTTTCGATTTAGTTGTAGAGTATGCAAAAAATTATCTGTGTTTTACGGGTTCCAAAGTCCAAACACACTAAATACTGGGGAAATGTCTCAGGGAAGTGCTTGTTTGGAGCGTCTTTTGGAGCAATTTAAATTTATGATATTCTTGTTTACGCAAGTGGTGACAAAATTTTTCTGATGTGTTTAGCTTATACATTGTAAATCACAATTTAAAAGTTATTTTGAATTTGAAAGTTTTAATCGTTATTTCAAATAAATTCGAAAACTACTTGAACTTGTAGCAAGTGTTCAAATTTCATTTTTAAAGTGAGTCTTCGTGGGGGGTAATTTATGGGCGAATCTGTAAATGCCGTTAATCTCGAGTTATATATTTAAAATGAGCTGGCAAGACCTAACCTATTTGGACTTGCATTTTATTTTAAAAGAAAAATGATTTGTGAGGCATGTCCTAATCTAAAAATAATGGACCTATGATTTTTAAAATAAAAATAAAAATTTTTTTTTAACAAAATTACATAACTTCACATGTGCTCCCTCATATCTTTCGAGCACTTCTTTATAAGGAAGCTGGTAAGAATATTGTTTTACTGTTAAAAAGTACATAATTCTGGTTACCATTAGCTCCTAATCTGGTACAATGCATGAAATGTACTATTCATCACAGATATTAAAGGAAAGCTAATTGTAAACACCGATATGATGCTTTTGACAAGGTTGATCTGATCATGAGTATAGATAATAACTATCATGATTGATCTAATTATTAATTCACATAACATAATAAGATTAATTAATTAATTAATACTATCTCTAGTCCTAAATATTGATTTAATTTGTAATATAAAATAAATTAGATCTTATATTTAGAACTGAAAATAGTGTTTCTTTGTTGCTCTTTATATCATCTTCGTGGTAACACTCAATTGTCTCGATAATAATACTACCTCTGGTCCTAAGTATAAGAACTAGTTGACTAATTTGAAAAGATTAAGAAAATAAGTTAAGTTGGTTATTTATAATAAATATGTGTTGTCTTTTCTAAAATATCCTTAGTAATCAAGTGTGTTGACTAGAACTATCATTATTAGAAGGATTATTTTGAAAAAGTATATATAGATACTACTTCCGGTCATTAATATAAGACCTTATTTAACATTTATTTTGGTTCTAAATATAAGACCCCAATCCACTTTATCTCTCATATTTATTCATTTTTTTCAAAGGTAGTCTTTGTAATAATGATAATTCTAACCAATATACTTGATTAGCAAGAATATTTTAGGAAAGACAACACATATTTATCACAAATAATTAACTTAATTTATTTTCTTAATCTCTTCAAATTAGTTAACTAGTTCTTATATTTAGGATCGGAGGTAGTATTAGAGACAAAATAGATTGGGGTTTTATATTTAGGACCAAATAGTCAAACAAAATCTTATATTAAAAATCGGAGATAGTATCATCTATCATGTTTGAATGAAGTTCCAAACTCGAATTTGACATTGACATGTTTATACATATATATGTTTTCTGTCTTATGCATAATTAAAAATATGTTTCACACAACTAGTTACACTCACTAAAAATAAGTCGTAAGCCACTCCTTAAATAATTCTCAGGTGTCCTTGTGTAATTAATTTTTTAATCAAAAACTTTTAACAGATCTTTTTTTTTTCTTTTGCATTTCATATTTATTTTTTCCCCTTGTGCCGCCAGGGGGAAAAAAAGAAATTAAGGGTCTTTATTTTATACTTCTCTGATCCTTAATATAAGACCCATTTAATTAATTTGATTAGATTGAGAAAGTTAGATAAGTTAGTTAATTATAGGAAATGTGACAATTTTTTCTTAAAACACCATAATCATCTTTCTTAATACTCCATCTCCCTATTCTACTTAATTATGGTTAAGGAAGTATCCATAAGGGTAATTTAGAAAAAATTAATAAATATGAGAAATAGGTCTTATATTTAGAACCAAAATTAGCTCAATAATTAGGTCTTATATTAAAAACCGGAGGAATACTCTCTTTTAATAAACCTTGAAACTATTTACAAAGGAAAAGATGTCTTGATCCTTGGATTGACTCATATCATTCCTAACATTAATACATTTCCCCTTATATCAATGATTTTCTCGATGATAAAACATAATCCACGTTGTACAATTACCTTGCAATCTCAAACTGAAATGAAGTACTTTTGTTGGCCAAAAAAACAGAAATGAAATGTTTTGACCCAAAAAAAAAAAAAGGAATTAAAATGACCCTATTTAACTACTACTATTTTTTAAGTGAGTGCCGCACAACTGAAAAGGGGAAAAAACGAAAAACAAACCACAGAATTACTATTTGGCCAAAGAAAAAAAAAAACAACAACAACCAACCTTAGCCTTTTTTATGACAAACATTAGGCTAAGCCAACCTAAATTGTTGATATTAATTATTTTAAAAAATCGATTATACTCATATAGTTCGAAATTTATATAACTAAAAATAAAAAAATAAAAACGATGGTTTTAGTATTAAACAATTAGTTTTCTTTTCTCTTCTTTTTGGTTATTTGCCCCCAAAAATCTGTCTGCACAGTTGAGCCAAGCCAGCAAATTTTCATTCGTTGATTTCCAAGCTTGATATCCAACCTGTTTTATGAATTGGGAAAGACAAAAAATCCCCAATTTCCTCCATAAATTCTTCTCAACTTCGATTCGGATTCATAGAACTTGAGCCGAATTGTTTATACCCCGGATTTTCTTTATCTCTTCAGCCAATTTGTATATCTCAATTTTAGAGGTAGAAGAAGCACCCCATGGATCATCACGATGAAAAGGCAGATACGGATGGTAAATCTTCCTTCCCTCCGTTCTATCGAAGTTTTTCACTTTGTTAAGTTTCAATTCAGTTAGATCTTCGTTGCACCGCATGCTTTCATTTCGAATTATTAGCCACCGAAATACATAACCGGTATTTTATTTTGGCTGAAGAAATTTGGGTATATTTCATTGTAAGCGTTGTTCAAGACGAATTCTTGAAGAAGAAAGGTAATATGAATTGGGGGTATAAGATTCTTACTCACCGAGAGACTTACAAGATTCGAGTTTATTCACTGGAATGTTTGTTCTGCACGCTCAGCATCATGATTTGCCTTCCATTAACTTGTAGCAATTCCTTGATACAGATGAGGTGTAGTCACTGATGAGATAGACCTGGTTAAAGAACTGGAGGTAAAATGGATCTTGATTTGAACGAGGAGCCCTTGGACCAAACCCCTACTTCAGTGATTGGATTTGATTCGATATTGGATGAGCTAGAATCAACCCATGAACATATAGAAGAGCGCATTAGGCAACTTGAAGCAGTAACCTTGAGAGCCAGGCAGCGTCAGAGGTGGCGGCGGGGTCATGATTCAGTTCAAATAAATAATGTCATGGCAGATATGATGATGACGCCTAGTGCTCGTGATGAACACAGGACACCCCAAGAAGATGTTGGTGTTGCAGTCCAGGAAGGAACAGTTGTTTTAGCAGAATTGACAGCAACTAATGCTCATAATGAAGGTATCTTGTCTAGGGAAGAGCCTGGTGCTGACCAAGAAAGAACAGTCAACCATAGGAAAACGGGCAAAAGGAACAGTTCGCATTTAGTAGCTCAAGCATTGGGTATGGATCCATATATAGATGAGGCAGTGAGCAGCACCGGGAATTTTTTTGACTGTAATATCTGTTTGGACATGGCGAGGGATCCGATTTTGACATGCTGTGGTCACTTATTCTGTTGGCCATGCTTCTATCAGGTGTCATATGCTTATTCAAATGTAAGGGAGTGCCCTGTTTGTAAGGGAGAGGTCGCTGAAACAGGCATTATTCCAATATATGGAAATAAAGATGACTCTAGCAACCGTCAATTGGAATTGAAAGAAAGTGGCTTCACTATCCCTCCTCGGCCCCAGGCACATAGAATTGAGAGTCTCAGACAACAGCTCATAAGCAGGGGAGCATCATCGTCTACAATCCAGGAGATTAGGCGATTTATTGGTTCGGCTGCAGCTGATGGAACTCGTTTTTCATTCAATCAACCTCACCATTCCCAGCCCCAAGCATTGCATGGCATGGAGACTGGAATGAGGCAGCATAATCGTTCACGTCTACTTTCAAGGTTGTTAGTGGAAGGAGCTGCTTCATTTTCATCCCTTTCATCAGCATTAAATTCTGCAATGGATTCTGCTGAAAGATTAGTTGGAGACCTTGAAGCATATATTCGTCCTCAACAACCTCAACCCATAGGAAGCTCTAGAGAGCTGCTTGATCCTCTTCCTCATAATGGAGTTTTACCTTCTAGCATTGCTGCTACAAACCAATCAGGGAGACATATTCCAGACGTTGGTGCGAGCAATTCTGCAGCCAATGCTTCTGTTTCTCCTTTACATATGCATGGTGACGCAACTGCTATAATAGATTCAGGTATCCTGACAACAGATAACAGCGTACAAGTTAGTTCAACAGAGCCTTCTTCGTCTTCTAGCAGAACTGTTGTGATAGGGATTCCAGACCTTTACAATAGAGTTTCAAATGGGCGCAGAAGAAGAAGGTTAAGAAGATGATGTTTTCC